GAAAGAAATGAAAGAAAAAGATGAGAAATAGAGTGAATTTTAGTGTTGTTTGATTGTATATAAAAAGAAGAGAAAGAAGTGATTGTTTCTTCCTTCTCATTCCTTGAATAATGATTTGTCGCCTAAAATTATGTTTCAAATCATGTCTCAGATCAATTAAAATATTCATGTAAATTAAAAAATTATAATATTCATTATTTTTTATTTTTTTGCTTCAATATCATTGTTTTGGGACATGGTTTGGGACACAGTTTAAAATAACAGATATTGCTACCTATTCTCCTCTCATTTTCTCCTCACTTGAAAGGAGAAACACATTTAATGGGTCCCACAACTTTTTTCTTCTCTCTCTTCAAACCCTCTCCTAAATCAAATGAGAGAAAAACTTTATTTCTCCTCAACTTCTCTCATCTCATTTTCTTTCTCTTCTTTTTCCCTTCAACCAAAGGAAGGCTAAGGGAAAATAAGTGCTAGAGCATTACACCCATTTACCTTACGGACCATATGCCTAACTTAGCTTGTAAAAATAGTTTAAAGGTTGTTGAAGACTTGTAAAAATAGCTTAAAGGTTTTTGTGACAAACTGCTACAAATCATATACTACATATCAGAATTGTTAACATATATGTTTTCTACTTATTCATTAATAAAACAAGACAACCTATAAATAAGCTAATACATAACTGTAATTATCATGACAATAATTGTTATGTAACATGCAAATTAAAATCCTATTAACGTGCAAATACTAGGACAACCAAATCATGCATTCAATTAAATTTAGGAATAAGAGAATAGGGGGCTGTACATATGTGATGGTGCTTCATAAATTTAACATTTATAAGGAACACCTTCTGCCTTTGTGATTCATATAGGTTGTACTTGTTTCTATCCATCATTGTGCTTCACTTGGATGCTAAACTCATTCACCTGGCTTCAAAGTTGAAAATTTCATGTCTTTCGACACTAATCACGTGAGCTTTCAGATTTTTAATGAGTGGGTTTAGGCAGAAAAATAAAAACACTCTTTCAAATATACATTACTTCATTTTGATTCTATCAGCTCAAATTCTAGGATTATACTTTAGTAGTGTTTTAACTTGAGGTTACCTCATATTTAACGCGCTTGTGCAAAAGTACCAGAAAATGTAGTACTAGGATATGAGACTGAATTTTTTTAATTTTTTCATTGAAAAATAACATAAAATCATAGTTATTGGAAGATTGTTTTGTCATGTATCAAACAATTAGCTTGGAATAAGAGATACAACGACAAATATGTGAACAGACTAAAGGAGAAACAACAATAAACCTGACAATCAGATTTTTCGGACGTTAATACCACATTAGCATAGACAAGCATAGTATATATAACACACTGATTTTAGTAGATTTCTCTCTCTTTTTTAGAATTTTATTTTCTTTAAAGATGTTTGACTGATTATTATTAGTGATACAAAGTATAAAAATCTTTTCTAAGTTTCTATATCGTTGCATTAAATTACTGAATTGCTTAGATGATTCAATAGCTTTTGAGTAATCATGTTATGGAGCATGAATAGTTCCTAACAATTTTGTGCTTAAATTATAAATTGATGTTTTCTTTTCCTTTAAAAAAAAAACATTGTCCCTTACTTAATCCATAACTAGAGAATCAAGGGTATGAAATGATTTAAGATTGTGACACAGAGTGTCTTAAATAACTAACAAAAATAATTCAAAAAACACATATTTTATGAAATTGCATTTAGTGGATAGGTTATTGGCACAAAATACACTATGTATTTTAGGCTCAAATTATTATGGATAAATTGATTGAACACATACAAATAGAAATCATCTGTGATAATGAGATGGATTTGTTGGATTTATATTTGATTATTACTTAACCTAAATATTGTGATTCTAATTTTTAAATCTAAAACCAATTTTAAATTCAATAAAATCTGACTATATGTTACTCCAACTCAAACCTGAAATGTATTACTTATTGTTATAAAAATTGTATCGTACCAAAATTGGTTATGCAAGCATACCTATCAAAATCAACTATATCATTCAGTTTTCATTTAAACCGTATTGGTCAAACCAGACTGATTTCATTTAAAAATAAAAAGTATTTATGAAATGAATTAACTTTTATGATAATGTTGTAATAGAGGATCAAATATACAATTATTACATTTGTTTATACTTGTAACTCATTGTCTATTACACATTTTGTCTAACAAATATTATAAATAAAAGTATATATATAATCTTATCTACATGTGCTTAAATTAAAAACCACTCATTGAAAAAACTTAGGTAAAATATCATAATTGTTAGTGATACAAGTGACCTATTAGAAGATGACATATTTTCATTTTTATTTACTTTCAAGATAAACACATGCTTCATTGTAAATCTAATAAATGTTCTTTCCTTGGAAGTAAACAAAAAGATCTACGTGTCATCCTTTAATATGTCACCTATACTACTAACACATATGATATTTTACCTAAGTTTTATCCAAAATTTTCTATCCTAGAATTTTCAATTTTCATGCCCTCCTATTTCTAACTAGTCAAATTTCGGAAGTAATACTAAAATATAAAATTATGTTTTTTTTAATTAAATGAAGTTTTATAGTTTGGTTTGGGAATTAAATGAAATGACATTCATAATCCACCTTCCTTTCCTTCATACCTTGATTTGGACACGTTAAAGGTTTTGTAGAACATTGATGTTTGTGGAAGCTAGTTCAACAAAGTGAGCGAGCTTCACGATCTCTCTCATACCACATTTTCTGGTTGAAATTTTCTCTATTTCCATCACTCTATGACCGTTTCTTTCTCACTTCATTTCCCAAAATCAAAAAACAATAACACCTCTCTCATTCTCTCTTCTTTCTATTCCATATACTCTTACTTTTCTCTCATTTTTTGAACCAAAGGAATCACCTTTTTCTTCATTCTTCTTCTCTAGAAGATTCTACCAACTGGGTCTTTTTCTTTTAAGCCTCATTGTATCAAAAAGCCTTTCTTTCTTCATGGCTTGTTGATATCTCTGGCCATTCCAAAAACATGGGTTCAGATGATGACAAATGCAATGAAAAAGGTGCTGCACTAGAAGTTTCAGAAATGCAGCACGTGGGAAAAACTGCTACTGATGAAGAAAGTGGTGGTGAAGAAGGAAAAGGAACTCTGAGTAGGTATAAGAGTGAGAGTTCCATTGCTGCAACCGAGGATGAAGATGATGATGAGGATAGAAAAATTGAATTGGGTCCTCAATGCACATTAAAGGAACAGCTTGAAAAGGATAAGGTTTGTGTTTGTTTTCTTTTCCTTTTTTTTCTATTCTCAAAGATCCATTTTTTATTTTTACAATTCTGTCTCATTTATTTTTGTGTTATGTTTTGGTTTTCTAGGATGATGAGAGCTTGAGGAGATGGAAGGAACAGCTTCTTGGAAGTGTTGATATTAATGCTGTTGGAGGTAATTACTTGTTTAATTGCTTCTCTTCAAATTCAAATTGGTTGTTTTGGTTTCAATTTCTGTTTATTTCAATGCATTATGTGTATTGAGTTATTAATGATTATGAATGAGAGTCATAAAACATTATCTGAAATACAGCAATGTCATCTTTCCCACCTTGGATTAATTTTATTGCTAATGTCTTATTTTTAGGCCTAAGTATGTTATTCCAATTTGTTATAATTGATACTGCTACTATTTTAACAGGTTGTGTATTATTTTCTGGTATTTTCAAATGTTTCAATGTCCCAATGTTGCTAGTTTGACCTTTAGTTGTGCAATTTTGATGGTTTACTGATATGCATTGATTTAAATTGCGGACCATATCACCTGATGCGGCCGCAATATTGTGGTTGCGGTTACCACCACAACTACATCAGGCGCAACGCAACCGCATCGGGCTGCATCAGGCCACATCAGATTCAAAAATATTGTTTTAATAACAAAATAATTCAACCGCAACGGCTGCAATCCGCATCGCAATGGCCGCAATTGCAGTAGCCGCAACTGTTACCGCAATCGCAATTTAAAACACTGCTGATATGTGATAAAATGAAATCTGAACCAGATATTCATAACATTATATCATCTGTGGTGTGGAATGCCAATTAACAATTGAATCTGCATGAAAATCCTTTGTTATCTACCCTTATGAAAATCCTTTTGCTTTGGAACTTTTTACCACAAGCTGACATAATTTCTCTTTCTCTCTTTTTGAATAATTTAGAAACTCTGGAGCCAGAAGTGAAGATCCTGAGCCTTGCAATCAAATCTGCTGGTAGAGATGATATTTTCCTTCCAATACCCGAGGGAGGAAATCCAAAGGGCCTGTGGTTTACTTTGAAAGAAGGTAGCCGTTACAGCCTGATGTTCACCTTCCAAGTGAGCAACAACATTGTTTCCGGTCTCAAATACACTCACAATGTTTGGAAAACTGGTATCAAGGGTGAGTTATGTTAATTTTCTCTCAATCAAAATTGTGCGAAACAGATACATAATTTGTCTATAAAACTTATCTCATTGTTGAAACTTAATACAGTTGATAGCAGTAAAGAAATGATCGGAACCTTCAGCCCCCAAGCCGAGCCTTACACTCATGAGATGTCGGAAGAGGTAACACCATCTGGGATGTTTGCTAGAGGAACATATTCAGCTAGAAGTAAGGTAATTTTAACATATAATGTTCTGCCTTAACACTGAAGACATGATTACTAGACTTAAGAAAAGGTATAACATTGATAACTTATGTGCATTTACTATAAACTTTATTTAAAATATGGTTTTGCCTGTAATGGTTAGCAAAACAGTTAAACATGCTTGTAATTATTAGCTACTTCTACTAGTTCTAATCATGAACAACATAGATTTTGATTTTGGTACACTATGAATATGAAATCTTTTTATACTGATAATGCAACATATCTAATATTAGGTGCAAACATGAAAGTTTAAAACTTTTTTACATTGATAATGCATCAAAGTTAAATCCAGATAGGATAAGAAAACATTATTAAATCTTAAACTCTTATCTGCTTCCATAGTGACATTATATGACTTGTTTCAGAACCAAGTGAACGTGAATTAATGTCTCTTTTCCATGTCAGCCCAACAATAAATGTTATAATAAATTTGTTGCTGGAATTCATGTGCATGCATTCCTTCAAAATCTTACTATTAGAAATTCAAATTTCATAGTCACTTTTTTTGTTTTTTCACAAGTAATTAATTCTAGTAGAAACTACACTTTGATTTATTTTGGTATCTTGTGTTTCAGTTTGCTGATGATGATAACAAGTGCTACTTGGAGATCAACTACACTTTTGATATCAGGAAGGATTGGCAATAGTTTAATCCTTCATAGTTATTGTTATTTATGCTGAAATATCCTTCAGTTTTTACTTGCTTCTTTTCCATTGTTTTATTTATTTTGAGTCCTGTTTGAGACTAGTGATTTTAACAATGATGAGAGAATTTGGAGGGTGAAATTGGTATTCATTTCATTAATATATTTTTGTCATTAAAAATTGAGTTTCACAGTTTGGATGCAAAACCATGGTCATCTACACATCAACGACAAAAGTGTTATTTTATTGTATATAAAAGAATAAAAATGTTATACTATATTATTTTTACGTTTTGTTTTTCTACTTATATTTGTTATTAGAGCTGGTTTTTGTTTCTTTTTCTGGTCTTATGATTTCCCATTCATTCATGATTATAAAGGGGAAATTTTGTGTACTGGGTTTCCTCCACTTCTTCAAAGGGATATTAAATTCCTAACATTTTTCAAAAACTTTGAAGATCACATTATTTTTTTGACTATGTATTTTCCTTGGTGCTGTGTAATGGGATTGGAATATAATGGTATTGTTGACTGAGAACACCTTATGTAAGTTTGTTTGCTACTATGTGAGAGATATAATTATGTAAATATAAATAGAATAATATGGTTTAAGATTTGTAATTTATTTTAACAGAATAAGACAGTGTATTACTAGCTTATGTTAGACTAATCTGGAAATTTTGAATGGAGTGGAAAATTTTGTCATTAGTGGCAAAGAGATTGGGATATAGAGTTTGGTGAATAAGAGAAATATAGATCACCTGGCTCCATTTTTTGCTTATGTTTTATGTCATTTAATTTAAAAGAAAAATCTTAAATACTTGTATTACTTGCAATAAGATGATTGATAGGAGTTTGAGACATGAAAAAATAATTATTTTGGGATAGACGATCTCAATTAGAATAAGAGGAAAAGAAATCACATGTCCATATTATTGTCCATGTTTCCTATCTCTTCCAATAAAAATGTGTCACTTAATTAAAAACATAACAACATTTTTATATTACTTGAAGTAAGATGATTGGTTGGAGACATGAAAATATAATTATTTTGGGACATAAGATTCTTATTCAAATGAGAGGAAGAAAGATTATATATCATCATTCTTGTCTCATATAATGAAATGTGTCGGTTCATTAGAAAGAAAAATCTTAAAACATAAATAACATTTTTATATCACATAATTGTTGGTAACATAATTATTTTGGAGACAAATGTTATTGAATAATATTCTCTTTTCATTGAGGGATGCCATCCCGATGGGAATATTGTGAGAAAATCCCTTATTTATAAATGTATAAATTAATAAAATTAACATGGGATTTGAAAACACATTATACTAAGGGTTTTTAAAAAAATATATTTAGCTAATAGTTCAACCTTAGACAATTTGAAATGCTTATTAACCTAATAGGCCAGCCAAGTTAATTACATTATATCTTAATAATTATATTATACTATTTTAATATACTAATATTTAATATATATGTAACTTTAATAAAAATATTATTTAATTATAAGTATTAGATAAACATATTTAAAAACATACATATTAGCCTATGCATGTTAAACCGTTTAAATGCTATAAAGTAAAATAAACTTTTAAATATGTTAATAAGTTAGAGTGGTCAACTTTTAAAAAATAAATAGATAAACACAATTGGCTCACACTATTATATGCCCTCAGATTCGACATATTTAACACAAATTCTAGTATATTTCAACATCTAATTATAAGGTAGTTTTTTTCGAACAAGCCCCTAATTACAAACAAAATTCTAAAAGACAAAAAGGAGAAGAAACTACCATGAATAGCTTTAATTTTTTGAAAATAAAAATAAAATATAAATACCATAAAGAAACACAAATGGAATGAGAGAAATAGATAGAGAAGGAATATTTAGAGAAATAAATAGAGAGTGAATGTTTAGAGAAATAAATTACAAATGTGTTTTCACTCAACATTTAAAATTATAGTATATTTTTTTAATATAATAGTTGTATTATTTTTTTTCAAAATTATGAATTTTTTCATGGTATATCTACACTAATATATTCAAATTTTACCAATAATATTTATATCTATTTTATATATTCTCTTGGACAATATTATTTATCTACTAAATTATATTTCAACAATAATTATATTTTCTCTCCAAAATGAAATTTAAAATTTTCATTCCTAATAAAATTTATATCATTCATTTTTTGAAATTCTAGCTTATATAACTTTTATTTGTGAAAATATAAATTTATAATATTAAATTTAATGAAAAAAAGTTTGAGACGCATCCTATTGTCTTAATTGATAAATGAGGTTGAAGTTGGTATCACATTTTATTATGCTCCTATCAATTTGGTTTCTTAGACGATTCATACGTATCCAGAAATTTAAACACAAAATTAATATAAATATGTTTTATTTTATTTCCAATACTTAAATTAGTTATTGTTAATGATATAATACCATAATCTATAAACTATTTAAATGAAACAAAATATATGATTTGTCATTTTTTTATTGATTTAAGACTTTTTGGAGATTATTAAAGATAAGATAAACAACTTGAGATCAAATAAAAAAATTCATATTTTACCTATAAACTTATAATATTGTGAATTTATTGTTGGAATAATTTATTTTTATAATAAAATATTACTACTAAGCAATGAAACATTTAAGATGATATTTTGTAGGATTAATACATTCTGAAAATGTTTAAGGGGGATAGAACTTGTTGTTTGGTTCAACGAAAGTTGATTTTTAGTTTCTCCATTAAGTTATAAGAAATGGTCATTGTTTTGCTCTTGGAACCCGATTTTTTGTTGAAAACTGGCTCAACGACTTAGGAATTGATGAACTCCATTTCAACTTCTCCCGAAAGATTTGTAGTTTTCACTACGTTTTTGTAATTAAAACATAGAAAACTTTCTTTAATATTTAATTTGGATAATATTATATTTTAACAAGACTTCTGAGATCGGGAGTCGATTATGGGTCGAGAAAGATATTAGCATTATGTCCACCCATATTGAAGTAATACCCTTGCTAATAGCATAAACTTTTATACACTTAAAAGATTATTTAACATTCCAACAGTAAAATTAAGACTACGTAGTTCTTAATTAAAATATGGTTAATTTGATAAAAACTTTAGAAATTATTTAGTTGATTAAATGAGGATTAATAGACAAAGAGTTGATCACTTACTATTCCCACTTTGATAAATAAGATATGCACTACTCATGATCGTTATTGTTTCTCTGCTCGAAGAGGGAGGAAGATGTGACATGAGTCATAACTTCACTATCGAATCCTCAATAAAATATTTATTTAGTTTTATTAAATAATTTTCAAAAGAGAAAATTAATAGACATTGAATCGACATTGATTACTTACCCATTTTCACTACGATCGACAATAGAAGCATTACTAATGACTACAATTGCTTCTCAACTTGAAGATGAATGAAGATTCAACATGTGTCATAACCTCTCTATTAATACTAAATAAAATACTTTATTTATAAAATTAAATAATACCCTTATTTTTATTATTAAATTAATTATTTTTAAATTAAATAATGCTAAATTGAATAAAAAAAGAGAGAGATATACCTGTAGATTTAGATGGAAAGAGAAAGATAGGACAAAAAAATGGAATGAGAATGCGATAGGTATAAGAATCACACATTCTTCATAAATGTCACTCAACTTTCCCTTATGATTAATTATTTGATTACATGTTATTATTCGAAGATAAATGTCACTAAACTTTCCCTTATTATGTATTTTATAAAATTAAGTGGACAAAATTGAATGTCCACATATACTTAATAACACATGTATTAAAAATTATATCGTCGTTATTCCATAAATAATAAGTCACACACAATATAAAAGAAAACAAACTCATTTTAAATAAATTATTTGATAGTAGTAATGTAATATAGTTTTTTTTTCCATATTTTCGGAATTATGGCTCTTATAGGAAAATAATTTCATCTAGGAATTGAAAATGTCAATGTTTTTCCTTTTTTCCAAAATTAATTATTCATCATTTGCTTGTTATTTTTTCCTATTTTTAATTATCAAAAAAATGTTCTTAATTGATATATATATATATATTTTTTTATTTGTTTCCTTTTAATTGTCCTTAATTCATATGAATTTATCGCAAGTGGCAAATAATAATTGAATTGATGGTCAAAACCCTCCTTTTTAATATAATATATAAATAATAAATAATTGCTATCATATGTGCGAGTTTTGATTTTTACCTTTTCCTTTTCATTTCCAATTTATTTAATTTTAATAATATGCCTTATGGATCTAATAAATTTAATTTTAATATATACCTTATGGATCTAATAAATCAACTTAACCAACTTTAGGACGCATGGTTTTGCTTTACCATTTCCCTGAAACTATATGTTTGCCCTTTCTCCTTGTCATCAATATGCTTAAATTTACTTTTCATAGATGAAATTAATGAGTTTTTTTTTTTGTATAACCAACGATTTTCTTTCAATAAGGAACTTATTTTTTCGTAGGTGTGTGACTACCCTTCTAACAAATGTTGATTTACTCTTCAATTATTAGAGTAATAGAGTCTAGCTATATCTACCTTTCTCATATCAGATTGAATGGTGAGAGCCACACAGTAGATGAGAATCTCGTGTAACATGCCGCCGATGAAAAGTATACTAAAAAAGAAAATGAAAGTCCAAATACCCTCTTCCAAACTCCAAACACTAGTAAAGTTGAATGAAGATTACATGTCCTAAAAATGGTGTCACAATATGTCTCGATCCACTAAAAACTGAAACATAATTAATATGAAAATTAAAAAAATAGAAAAATATTTTTTTTACATTACTTGGTACAACATGATTGACTTGAGACATTATGATATAAATTTTTTGGGACATGTGATCCTTGTCTAGTGAAGTGGCCCTCACACCCCATTACAAAAGGCGAAATCTAGATGTGAATAGTAAAAAACAAGTAACCAATTAGCCCTTTAGTTAAGTGTGGTGTAGTTTTGTGACTGACTCACAAAAAAAAAACATCCCTATTATGGTTCTTTTTTCAATAACTTTTGCACGAATTTATTCTAGAATTATTAGAGGTGCCCAAATAACATGTTTCATAAGGGTGTTAAAGTTGATTATTATGTACTATATATATCCTTGCACTCATAAAAATATCTCATTCTTG